CTGTTCCAGTGCAACAGCCAAGCATTCAACACTTCTTAGAGTCAGATGCCTGTGTTCTGTCCTCCACACACTACATCACTGCTGGGTACTTTGGTGACGTAGGGGTCAGAGGAAGGATCACAGCATGTGGCGTGGGACACAGGTATTTAACACACCTGAAAGTGCTGAAAAGACTGATGGAAGCTGCAGAACTGGAATGGAGGGGAGGTAAAAGACACAGGCCTCTGGAGAGGTGAAGACCCCATTCACACTTAAGCAATTCAAGGCACTTTTCCCAAAGTGCTATAACACTCCATATCAAGATCCCATTATATTCAGTGGTGCCCGTTCAAAAACGTACATGAGCTTCTTAGGGGAATAGTTGGGGTGTTTATGGCCCCTATTGACTTCAATGGGAGTACCCAAAAAATGCCTGAAAACAAGTATGTTTTTTTGCTAAAATTACTTGCCTCTCCTGGTAGCTAGATTTTTATTGTCTACAACAAAAACACTTAAAACTGAAAACCCATACATAAAAACTCCAAATTTGCTTGAAAACACACATACTCAAGTGTGAATGGGGGCTAATACTTCTTCTCTTACAGAAAACTGTCATTTTGATTTGGGGAACTGGCATCTTAATTTAACTGAATAAATGTATACCCTCCTCCTTTACACCCCTCAAAAAGTCATACTTCCTCCCTAGAAAGTGCAATACTATATATAACCTTTTTGTGATATATTACAATAAATAAAATAAACTAAATTAAAACATAAAGCGTTCAAATAAAAATCATTAAAGTCCAAAAAACCAAAAGTGTCCAAAAAAAAATGTCCCAAAAAAGTCCAAACAATGTCCAAAAAAAAGTCCCAAATCTTCAAACTTTTTCATCAAATAAAAGGATTGACTCCTATTCCATCCAGTAAGAACCTCAAAATAAAAAGATACAAAATCTAGTGCATTACCATAGTAAACTAAAGTAATCACCCAGTGCAACTCTCAATATAGTGCAAAAATTATATATATATTTATATAATAAATGAATAAATTATTCAAATCAAAAAATCCTTTCTTAAAGTGCGCATAATCACACAAATCAAACTGTGAACACTCAGTGGTCACTGCAACTCTGTGCACACCATCAACCAGCACACAATAGTACTAAATACTATTACCCTCTGTGAGTATTGAAGAGCTTTAACAATACTATGGATCAGAAATCCTCCATACTCTCTTCAAAGGCATTTTTCCAAGGTCCTCAGAAAGATAAGAATGGTCTCAGGACTGATATTCAAAGCATAGGGATAGATTTAATAATCACACTTACATTTAAAACATAGACATTTCAGCTCCAGACATGGCTCTAGGCAAGTTGCACCAAACAATGTAGAAAACCATGTGTGGATAACAGACAAAATGGCCGCGGCGACACTTCCGGTCTGCGTGCGTGCGTCTTGACGTCACTCCTCTAACGCGTTTTGTCACTTCCGGACTTCGTCTGAAGGGATCCCTTAGACACCTGACAGGGTATCTTTGAATCCAACATTAAATTCCAAGATGACTAGCTGTAGTTTATCTTGCCCTGTCTATTGTGCTACACCATATGATCTGCATTCTGCTATGAAATTCTCATGAAATTTTGCATTGACTTACGCATTGTAAAATTTGCAGATACCTCTGTGATGCAGGTGACAGGCAGAGGTGATGGGAGGTAAGGAACAGGGTCTGTTGTGTAAGTAAATATTGATTTACAAATGCACTTCCTTTATTATAGTACATTGAGTTACCAACCTATAACAACGTTACGTTCTCCTCAGTCGAAGACTTTGTGCATTGTGCAAGGCAAGAGTGTTGCAAAACCAATTGCCTTAACCCATGTTGTGTGTATGATTGATGATGCAGTGTGTAGGATGATTTTGGCTTCTTGCATAACCAGCTTTGGACCGGGTAGACGAGCTGCCGTTAATTTGATGAACACTACTTGGAAATGATTGGGAAAGAGGAATCGTTTTCTTAGAACTATGCAAGAGAACAATAAAAACAATGGAAAGAACCTTCATCTTCAAATTATAGGTGTCACTTATATATACAACCACCACCCTCAAGCACTGCTCCAGACAAGGCCAATGGAAAACAGGTTTATGTAGATGTTGTACCTCTAGCACTTGACCTAAGACTCATTCATATAGCATGCTGTATGCTACTACTTTGAAGACAAATTGCAACATATTATTTTCATGACAGGTACACAGCTTACTACTGACTGATATACAAGTTGTAATTACCTATAATTTCTATTTGACTCTGTATAGACATAGAACACTGCATCTACAACATGGGAGACAATTCTATTACACTCTGTTCATAGAACACTAGACTTCAAACATGACCGACCACTGGACATGAACCTAATACAATTCTATTACTCTTTATGCATAGAACCCTGTACCCCCAATGTGAACAACCACTGGACATAATCATAATACAATGATATAACACTTTACTAATACACTGTAATAACACTATCGAGAGAACACTGCACCCTCGACATGACCAACCACTGGACATGACCGTAATGCAATTCTATTAAATGCTATACATAGAACACTACACCTCTAACATGGCCGACCACTGGATATGATCACATCCAATTCTATTACACTCTATATAAAACACTATAAACCTGATCATAATACACTATTACACTCTATACATAGAACAACGTCACCGACCACTGGACATGATCATAATACAATTCTATTACACTCTATACATAGAACACTACACCCCCAACATGACCGACCACTGGACATGATCACAATCCAATTCTGTTACACTCTACACAGAGAACACTACACCTCCAATATGGCTGACCACTGGACATGATCAAAATCCAATTCTATTACATGCTATACATAGAACACTATACCTCCAACATGGCCGACCAGTGGACATGATCACATCCAATTCTATTACACTCTATACATAAAACGCTACACCTCCAACATGGTCAACCACTGGACATGATCACATCCAATTCTATTACACTCTATACATAAAACACTACACCTCCAACATGGTCGACCTCTGGACATGATCACAATCGAATTCTATTACACTCTATACAGAGAACACTACACTTCCAACATGGCCGACCTCTGGACATGATCACATCCAATTCTATTACACTCTATACATAGAACACTACCCCTCCAACATGGTCCGACCAGTGTACATAATCACAATCCAATTCTATTACACTCTATATATAGAACACTACACCTCCAACATGACCGACCACTGGACATGAGCACATCCAATTCTATTACACTATATACATAAAACACTACACTTCCAACATGGCCGACCACTGGACATGATCACAATCCAATTCTATTACACTCTATACATAGAACACTACTGGCTGACACTGGACATGATCACACTCAATTCTATTACACTCTATAATAGAACACTACACCTCCAACATAGCCAATCACACATTCATCATACATTCTATTACATTCTATACATAAAATACTACACCTCCAAGATGGCCAACCACTGGACATGATCATAATACAATTCTATTACATTCTATACATAAAACACTGCACCTCTGACGACCAACCACTGGACATGATCATAATACAGTTCTATGACACTATACATCGAACACTACACCTACAACATGAATAACCACCATTTTTTATGTAGACCACCTAGGCTGTGGCTCATGGCTGGCAGGCACCTTTCCACCCAGTTTTTATATAGGTTTCATCCAACCTTTGACAAGCTGATATAGAGCCTAGACAGGTCATTGCCCCTATGCCCACCAACACTAATGCTTCTTTCAGCATGTCACCTTTGCCATGGCTGCCCAGGCCTTTCCCACAAGCTCCTCACACCCTCTGCATGCAGTGTGAGCTGTGCTCTTTGTGCGGACAGGGTGTGGGCTGTTTTCCAGGAAGATCCCCCTGATTTGTCAGTGTGTTTGTGCAGCAGTACCAGTCCACTTCTGTGCCACTAAGCCAATAAATGCTGGCTTGGCTGAGGTTACCCCATCCACCTGTGTTTATAGTAATACTGATTAGTTGACAGTTTTTTTTCATTATTTATTTCTCCCTAGCCAGACCAGCCAAGGATTGCCCCCTCACCTCCGTGATCTGACACCCCCCACTACACAGCATAGCAATTATCACAACAGCTCAGGGATCAGAAGCATTGTTGATTGGAGCAGTGTGCAGAGGGCGTGCCAGCGTCCTGGAGAGCCTGGCCTCTGTGTCCTATGCAGGGGTGGACTGACAACCCATGGGGCCTGTGGGCAATAGGGGAACATGGGGCCACTGTGTCCTCGCCCACACCCAAAAAAGCCTATGAAAAAGACAATGAAAGGTACCAGGGGCATCTCATGGGGCCCCCTACTGACCCCGGGCCCTCAGGCAGTGCCCGAGTGCTCAAATGGTCAGTCCGCCAGTGGTCCTATGTGAGAGCAGAAGTCCAGACGTCTACACTGCTACCGCTACATAAAGAACAAATAAAAAACCCACACATGTTCTTAACTTTTACTGCATCATGACAGTAATAAAATGGCTTTAATTGGGGTTTAACATAATTATTTAACATGTTTAATTGATGGTTTAAAGATTTTGTTTTTACTGAAGTTCTATATCTTTATATTATGAGTGTTTTCAGCCTTTCTCTCTCTAATTGAAGCCTATATAAGGGTGTACAAAGCAGGGAGAGTAGAGTTAGAAAAGGGATGGGTCAGACTTCTGACTTTTAGTTTGCGCTAGGAGTGCAAATTCACATTTAACTAAAGTCCAAACTTGTTTTAGTTTTTAAAAAAGCAGGAAGGCTTAAATCCTATGTGAGGTTTTTTGTATGTACTGTTTGTCCCTGGTAGGTTGATTCAGCCTCTTGATTTTTCTTTATAAGTATGGGATTTTGAATAATATGCATTCTGTCCTGAGATAATTGTATGGGCTGCCATCATTATCCGTTGCCTGTTCCTCTTAATAGAGGTTTCCTTTAAAGTGTGTCTAAACCCAAAGAAAAACAAATGCGTTGGCTGCGTTTGTTTTCTTTTCCGTGTTTTTTATTATTTTCACCTGGTGATCTTTTCCCTTCCCCTTCTCTTTCCCTTCTCTGTAACACAGTGGGTAATGTACAGAGAACACTGGTAACAATGTAACCGATAACAGGCAGTACAGAAAGAGAACACAGCATGTTATGAGCTTACTGGGTTTCTGGCTTCTGGCTCAGCAGGCATTTATTTGCACTTGTTGAATGAAGAAAACAAAATGGTTTCAGCATACCTCCCAACTTTCTGAGATGGGAATGAGGGACACCTATTAGGCTATGCCCCCCCCCTTAAAGAAGAATTATACAAAAACAATTGTTGGTTAAACACACAAGTAGTTTTTTTCACCACTACTATTCCTTTATATTGGCTTTGGAAATATATGAATGCAGCAATTTGGTAATTGAATGAAAGCTTTAAAACTGTAAAACAATTTTTGATAGGTAAATAGCGCATTTTATATACAATAGACCAAAATGAGGTACAAATGGGGAGGAAGGAGGGACAGAGGGACTTTTTTCCACATGAGGGACAGTCCCTCGAAATCAGGAACATTTGGGAGCTATGGTTTCAGTGGTATACTTAAACTGTTACTAAACCCAGGACCCTGCATTCACTATATCTGCTCCCCCCCTGGACCCTGCATTCACTATATCTGGTCTCACCGGACCCTGCATTCACTATATCTGGCCTCCCGGGACCCTGCATTCACTATATCTGGTCTCCTAGGACCCTGCATTCACTATATCTGGTCTCCCTGGACCCTGCATTCACTATATTTGGTCTCCCCGGACCCTGCATTCACTATATTTCCCTGGACCCTGCATTCACTATATTTGGTCTCCCACAGTACACACACAACATGGAAATGCAATTATTTTAGTAAATATAAACTGCTAAATAGTAGTCTTGTTACTCCTATCAGTGTCCAGCTGAGCACTGGTTAATCCTGTAGGAGGAGTTTTCATTCTGCTCTGACTGTTCTATGAGGTTGCATAACCCCTGCCCCAATGTCTGGACAGTGCTGATTGGCCCTGTGCTGATCACATGCACCCTCTCAAAGAAAAAAAAACCTCTCTAGCAATACACACTAAACTGAGCATGTGCAGAGGGACTGCTAGAGCTCTGTACTATCAGCAGATTGATTGGGGATAGTAAAAGAAGGGAAGGATCAGAGAAGACAGGATCAAACAGCCTTTTTAAACAATGTGGAGGATTAGCCCATTAGGTTCCACAGTGAGTATAACAAGCATGCTTTACTGCATCTACAGACTGATTGTACTATTGTGGGTTTAGTAATACTTTAACAGACCAAAAGGGTCTAAAATAAAAGAAGTTCATTGTTAGGGTTTACACACACTTTAGTCTATCTTGTCCAGATTTGCACCTGGAAAGGACACCTCATGACTGGGAATCAGCTGCTTAGACTCATGATGACATTTCAAGGCATGAATGAAATGATCCGTGTTTACATCACGTAGCAGATCCTTGCATTGTTTGCACACACAGGTCCTTCTGTGACAGAAGTAGGTCAGCAAGAAACACAAGAAATAACAATAGGCCAGGAGACAAGGTTGCAAACGTCTTCTGTAATGTTATCTCTCAGGAAGGAATATGGAGTCCTGCCATTATGGATCCCCTCAGAAAATGCTAAATTCTTGGCTGGCAGCCTAATCCTCTGGGTACCTTTTTCTTTGGACATTCATGGGGCCAGTAAAGTCCTAACTACTGATCTGTTTTCCTGTTTAAACCAACCAACCAAATCTGGGTTCTGTTTTTCTCATGTCTTTTCCAATCACGTGCTGGATCCACTTTGGTCTTTTGTATCAGTAGGCATTCGTGAGTAATGCAGAGAGCTTGGTGTCATTTTTGGTGTCATGACTTCGGCACCTCTGTCTGCATCAATGCACTGTGTGCTGGACGTTGTGCTCGGGGCGGTTCCACGACTCCCTCCATTCAGTGTTTTTTTTATTCTTTCAGGTGTGTCATTCATTTAGGAAGACTGAGGACATATTCTGATGAAGAAGAGGTACTGTGGGGAAGAGCTGTTTTTATTTTTTTTTTTTGGGGGGGTGAAGGACTTCAGGTATCACTGGGTCTAAAATAGGGTATCCAATGAAAGCGCACCTCTGTCAGCAAGAAGAGTTGAGGTGCCATTCAGAATGAACGGTACCTCATCGCACAGTGCACATTCCCACGACACAGTGATGTCCTAATGTCATTCAGTGGAGGGTTGACACCTACTATAATAGCCACATATCAGTTGATCAGCTTCTTCTTGGCTGATGGGTTCCATATACTCCATGGCATAGAACTACAGAAATGTTCATACAATAGTATTTAATATCAAAAACAGTTTTCCTGACACCCCAGTAATTAAAGAAATACATCTGATTTATTCATAACACAAGCTGGGCTTAATCTCGCCCTGTGACAAAGTGTTATCAGAACAAAATATAAGAGAAATCCGGGACTGGTAATTGTTTCTGAGAAATATTATTATTAAGTGTTCTTGCAAGAACACTTATTGTTATCTCACATATATATTCTTATTCTTATTATAGCCAAAGTTTACCACCCTAATTGGTGTGCCGATTGGTGTGCTATTTGTGAAATGTTTTGCCAAATGGTTCAAAAAATATTGCAGTTTTTGTGGTTAAATTTTCCCATAGGAATGAATGGAGGAATGACCTAAACTACAGTGGGAGCTGACAAAAGCTACAGTGTGAGATGAGAAATCAGGACATGATTTCTAAACTGCCACCACTCCCTCATTTTCAAGCCCACCTACACAAATCTTATATAAAAACATTCAGCTATCCCTGCTGCCACTAAGCCATAGTCCTGATCATTTTCACAATATGACCTTTTGTTTGCAACTCACGCAGGCCATTGACATTCATTGAAACTCCACTCCCAGCCACCTGAAATTTTAAGGGCCATTTCTAAACTGCGACTGTGCCTTCATTTTTAATATTTTTAAGGACATACCATCAAAATGTAGGTCTGGGTCTTGTGATTCTCACAATATAAAGCTCTTTACTGTAGAATTTATAATTTTTTAAACTACAACCGTTTGAAGATGGCAACCGCCAGTGAAGTGAGCAAGTTGGAGCAGTTTGTTTTTAACTGCTCTTCTCTGCCCTTGCTGTAGAGTGAGTTGCCATAGGAACCCAGGTGTGTGAGCAGGCAGCAGAGTGACAAAAGCTAGAGTGTTAGCTGAAAAATAAAAGTTGAAATGCATTTCTCACTCTATCAAGCTTGCCATGTGCACTTTTTAAATTTGATCAATCAATTGGTTAGTGTAATGTTTACTATCTTTACTCACTCTAAACACTCCACACAGTTACTCTGCCCACTCCATAAAGTTACTCTGCCCAGTCCAACCTTTTCACAGTTACTCCAGCCACTCCAACCACACAACAGTTACTCCAGCCACTCCAACCCCACAACAGTTACTCAAGCCACTCCAACCACACAACAGTTACTCAAGCCACTCCAACCACACAACAGTTACTCCAGCCACTCCAACCACACAATTAGTTACTCCAGCCACTCCAACCACACAACAGTTACTCCAGCCACTCCAACCACACAATAGTTACTCCAGCCACTCCAACCACACAACAGTTACTCCAGCCACTCCAACCACACAATAGTTACTCCAGCCACTCCAACCACACAACAGTTACTCCAGCCACTCCAACCACACAATAGTTACTCAAGCCACTCCAACCACACAACAGTTACTCCAGCCACTCCAACCACACAACAGTTACTCCAGCCACTCCAACCACACAACAGTTACTCCAGCCACTCCAACCACACAACAGTTACTCCGCCCACTCCAGTTGTAGACTACTGGTGGAGGCAAGAACACTTCACACAATTTCCCCAGAAATTGTAGCTTTTCTAGTTATTATGATTATACAGCATTTATAAAGTGCCAACAGTTCACTCAGCGCAAAATATGTAAGTGTTGCTCATTTAGAGAATTAGGGAAATTAAGTTTACAGTGGCAGAATCTCTTTATGAGCCTAACTCCTGTTAAGCTGCACCGTCTCAGCATAGACATGAATGGGATTCATCATTCTGCTCAGGTACCCCATCCTCTGCCCTCTGTTAGGCCTTTACAAACTTGTCATGCAGTTGGTTCACAGAGGTCTCACATATAGTAACCAAAACTTGTGTTTTTTTTAGCAGGGATGAGCAAAATTTAGAGTTTTTATTTCCATGAATGTATGGGAAAAATTTTGGCAAATTACATTGTGGAATCAATTTTTATTATTGGTACTTATACAACGATGTCAATTTACGCAGCACTTTTACATATATATATTGTACATTCACATCAGTCCCTAACCCTCAAGGGGTGTAATCTAAGGTCCCTAACTCACATTCATACATACACATACTAGGGCCAATTTAGACAGGATCCAATTAACCTACCAGCATGTCTTTGGAGTGTGAGAGGAAACCAGAGAAGCCAGAGGAAACCCATGCAGACACAGGGAGAACATGCAAACTCCAGGCAGGTGGTTCCGTGGTTGAGATTCAAACCAACGACCCTAGTACTGCCAGGTGGAAGTGCTAAGCATTTAGCCACTGTGCTGCCCCAAGAGGAAAATAAATTAAAGCTGAGCTACAGGCAGATACAAATGCCAAAATGAAATCAAATCTGTATTTTCACATATATCTGTACATCACATTTTTGCAAGTAGTATATTCAGCCTCTCGACCATTCAAACCGCCACAGCCCATGAACGTAGAAGGCAGACCGGGTGAAGATGGTAGCCTTATCAGGTAGGACAGAGGGGACAGTGCAACGCTGGATGGCTTTGTTGTCAGGTAAACTTTTAATGATGCATACTAGCACTTTATGCCCTTAACTTGCAGGGAGAAGACTTTTTTGTTTTCTTTTTTGCAGTTTACTACCAGTTTAAAGCTTGTGGGGCCCTCTGCAGGAGGTCCATGCCGTCAGGTTTTGCCATCATGTACCGTTGCCCTGTAAAGTCTATCAGTAGCTTGTGGCTATAAGCGTACCAGAGGGCTTTTGGGGTAGTTGGTTCCTTTCCCCCGATAATTAGCTGAGAAGCCCCTATTAATGCCTATCGTGAACTGATGTTTATCAGGATCCGTGGAACATGTAGAAATTCTCTACTCAGAAGAAGGCTACATGTACAATGACCTTAAAAGCAAAGTCATTTATATTAATTGTATGTTTGTGACATGTGGAAGTGTCATTATTGGTGACACAGTGACAGTTCCTGAAGTATGTACTTACCCGGCCCTGATTTATATTGATTTGTGTCCCTCCCTCTCATATTAAAGTTCATTTTATGTCCAGTACCGCACGTCTCAGTGCCTCTTACAATACATTGTTAGAGGTTGATTCTGGTCAGATAAAATCTTCATTCATGCTGTGGGGACTCATCCTTCATATTTATATGCCCCAAAGATGTCCATTTGTAGGTAGACTGAAGTGCCTGAGATTTTTCCCTCTCAGTTTTTAACAGATTTGAATGGCTTTTACCAAATTTGAGAAATTTGAGAGGTGCAGGAGGGAGCAAACTGCTAATTTTGTGCAGAGGACAGTAAAAAAGATGTTTTGAGGTGTGTTTTTAACTAGTTGTTGGCTTGAATGGGGCCAAATATTGAGACTGGAGATCACCACTGGAGAGCAATATTCACGTCAATGGGATGATCCCAAGCAGCACTGAGCAGAATTTCATTCACTGAACAGACTGACGATACAATAGGATGGGAGATTGGTGTAGTTTTAACAAAATGTTGAATTGTATGGGGGCATATTTGGAGACTGAAGATCACCATCTTAAAGTACTATTTAAATCCTGGCCAGCTTT